CTCACTTGGTAGCCCAGGCTGGCCTCGAACTCACAGAGATCCACCTGGCTCTGCCTCCCGAGTGCTGGGATTAAAGGCGTGCGCCACCACCGCCCGGCTTGCTTTTTACTTCTTACAGTTACATATATGTATGTATGAATGTGTGCGTGTGAGCCTCTGTACCAGCACATGTGTGGAGTTCAGAAGACAACTGGAGGGAGAGGGAGTTGGATCTCCCTTTCCACCAAGTGGTTGCAGGGATTGAACTCATGGTTGTCAGACTTGGCAGGAAGCATCTTTATTCTCTGGGTCATCTCACCAGTCCCACAAACCTCTTCAAACGATCACTGGACTATCAGCTTAATACAATTACAAGTATTGAAAACCCAAGACAATGAATACACTTTGGTAACAAATGATTAGTAAGTTTTACACCCCTGGGACCATGCCTCTGAGCTAACTTCTTATAATAATCAAAATTTAAGGATACTAAAATGAATGGTAAAATTCAAATGGAATAATTTTCTGTGATAAACGTGTTGGAGAAATATTTCCAAATATGTTCTAAAGAATTAGTGTTTATTTTATTTATTTATTTATTTTGTTTTTCGAGATAGGGTTCTCTGTGTAGCTTTGCACCTTTCTTGGAATTCACTCTGTAGCCCAGGCTGGCCTCGAACTCACAAAGATCCGCCTGCCTCTGCCTCCTGAGTACTTGGATTAAAGGCATGCGCAGCTGCCACCGCCGCTGCCACCACCAGGCATGAATTAGTTTTTATAAGTATAATTACAAATCATGGAGTATTCCACTGTATTAGTTTACTTGCTGGGCAACATCAACATTCTTTCAATTTTTGTCAGTATGTTAGCAAAAATCTATGGATCCAAATTAGAGGACTTAGCAAGTCATGAAAATTCTGAGCCAAGAGGTGGTGGCGCATGCTTTTAATCCCAGCACTCAGGAGGCAGAGTCAGGAGAAGCTCTGTGAGTTCGAGGCCAGCCTGGTCTACAGAGCGGGGTCCAGGACAAGCACCAACACTAGACAAAGAAACTCTGTCTTGGAAAAAAAATTCTGTAAGGCACAAAAAGTCTAGAATTTAATGTTTAATTTTTGTGGATTTCTGCCCCATTGCATCTTTGACACAAGTCTTGTCCTCAGATACTGTGTTGGGGTAGAGATTTTTCCACGACAGGAAAGACAGACATGTCAATGAATTCTGCCTAAAATACTCAGTGAGTATCAGTGCAAATATTTGCAATTTCTACATGTATTCTATACCTACCAAACCAACCTGTTCTAGTAACAACGAACAGCTATAAGACAGTTATGAAAAATCCTGAATTTTTGTTTTGGGTTCCCCTTAGATTTTTTTTCTCCGTGGAAGTACATTTAAGCACTTGGACTACAATCTTAGAAATAATGAATCTGTAATTCTTGTACTAATGTGAGGTCTGAACTTTTCTGATCTTTTAACTTGAAAAAAGTTTGTTCCGGATATTGCCGATGCAAATATCCACCCCGTAGAGGGGTGACGATCTCAGTTACAAGTATTTTCAAAAGTCAGAAACATTTTAAACAAATGAGGAAGTAGAGAGGTTAAGCGCAAGAACTAGCTAACAAAAGCGAAGCAGCCAATTTACTAAAGCAAAACTAAGAAGTTTTCAAGTCGAAATGTTTACCGGCTTAATTTCCAGTTTTTTTTTTTTCTCTCTTGTTCCTTGATATTAAGCAGTGAGGGTTTTCCGGTGCAAAACGAGAGCCGCATCCAATCCCGGCAACTTTCCGTTCGTTCAGACCCGGAGACGCCTTCGAATCAGTTTTTCAACAGGTGGTGGTGGGGCAAGAGTTTCTGGGCTTGCACCCTATTTTCCCTGCGGCGCCGGGCAGTCATGCCTTTACTGTAAAAACACGAAAACAAACAGAAAAGGAAGATGGTGGAGGGGCGGGAAAGGTCGGCCGCGGGCCCGCCGCCGCCGCCGCCGAGCGTCTAAGGGCACGCACGCCCCGGCTGCTGCAGCCTTCCCGTGCGCGATCCGGGGGCGGAGGG